CAGTTCCATGCTTCAAATAGGAACACATGAAAGTAGGTAAAAATAAGCAGAAAGGATGGACGAAAACTTTACAATTCTCTTTTCTAATTTTTTTTTTTGAACTAATAAATTTTAATAATAAAAAATGTAAATAACTACATGATAACAAATCTAAGGAACTGATTGCTTTTATATTAAATTCCATCTATTTAAGCATATCTGATAGCAATTTATCAACTAAAGTTTACTCTAATCAGGTCAAAGTGCATTAATCTATTTATAGAATCATGGAAAAAGTGTTTCTCACTAGCATTCTTTCATGGAGTATAAGCAATCAAACACTTTATTAGCCTACCCTGCTGATATCAAAAAGAAAAGAAAAAAGAAGAAATTAGTCACAGTATTATTTAAGATAGAGTGTTTAAATAAATTTATTCAAAAACAAAGAAAAAAAGAATTAAATTAGGCATTAAGAAAACAAAGAAATAAAACGCACTATTAACATAAATATTTCATCAAAAAAAAACAATTATGCGAATTTAGCTGTTTGTTCAAATTTGCATCATTATCTTTTGAAAAAAAATTTAAATTAGAATGTGATTGCTAAATATTCCAGACAAGAAAAAAACCGGAAATAAGACGAGAAATGAATAAAAAGAAGTAAATCAGAATACTCAATTGTATCATTTAATTTTAAACATTTGTATATCACTATTAAAATTGTCATCGAAAAAGAATTGCAAACTGAAGTTTCCTTATAACTATCTAATATGCAAACTTTCCGGAATATCCTTAGATCCGGAAACCCTCACGTTTCATTTACGAGGAAAATATTCCTTCTTTTTTTTTTCTCTCTCTCTCTCTCTCTCTTCCTGTCTTTTTGCATGAAATACAGTTAGCAAAGTGATGATATAGTTTGTTATTTTCTTCTTATACCTGCAAATGTTGCATAAATTTTCTATAAGGAAAGTTTTCATCGTGGAAAGATCGGTTGAGGAATACGAAAGAAAGGTAAAATGTTTGAGTAATATTTACGTCCTTTCAAACACTATTGCTTTGCTATTTTCATGCAATTAAATTAGAGAAATAGTTACAAGAAATCGATCTATTCATTTAAACATTGCAAAAATGCGGACAGACAAAGGTTGTTTGGTGTCATGTGACACAATCATCGGAAGAGAGAGAGGGAAGGAGAGAGGTTCAATGATACAATGTAATTGACATGAGACCTGCTTGGTTCATAATGATGTATTAAATTCAACTAATTAGAACAGGTCGTTTTCCTTCCTGTTACCTGTTTGTCTTCAGTGATTGTTATAAGTGATAAAATAACAAAGCAAGAGAAATCAATAAAATGCTATTTTTAGCATCACGTTTAAATCACAATGTTTTTGTCATTCAGCAGGTAATTTACTAAACTAATTTAGAAGTTGAAACTTTCAACAAATCTACTTTCGAATTTTGTTTTCTTTTTGTCTTATAGAAAAAACAAATTTCATAATACATCAAATGGCAATTGTGTTGTCATATTTCTGCAACAATAATGGCATCAGATTAAGGTATTATCACAAATTGACCTATTATCACGGAAACATAATACAGAAATATGTAATATCGATTTTCGATTTGATATAAAAGTTTGTATGAATTCCTTTGCCAATTATTTTTGCTACTTTTTTCCTGATTAAGCAGTAGTATTAGCAATACGAATAGCACTACCAACAAAAACAATAACAACAACAACAACAGCAACAGCAAGAGTAGAAAGGTTGAAGTCAGCTCCACAAATGGAAAAGATACTAGCAAGAAATATCAAAATAGGAAATCAGTAAACAACCGAACTGCATACATTTTATCATGATTACAATCATCGAGTATTTAAATGTTTGGAAAAAATCGGTTGGCTGCTTATTTACAAAGTTGAGTATTGTTTTTGTGTGACAGGATACGACATGACAAGTTTTATGATGGATATTAGAGAAGTACAGTGGTGATCAACAATCAACTGGATTGTAAATGAATCAAAAATTTTCATTTTCATTTTCTTTATTTGAACAGTAATCCGGTTGTGACGATATGAGAATGGTAGTGATAGTTCTATCATTTTGCTAACTTCACCCTTTCATTTCTCATTCTTTACTCCCTTTCTACAGTTCCGTTTGTCCCACTTTTCAATTGTAAAAAGAAGGATAGAAAAAAAGAAAAAAAAAAATAAGGAAAGGAGTAAAATTCATTGTATTGGTATGTTTACCAATCTTGAATTTTGTTATTTTATTGCTTGTTTTGCAGAGCAAAATTAACCCTTATTTCTTATAGAATGGTTAAAATCTAAAAATTAAAAATGAAATCTTTTCTTTTTTACTCTATCCTGTTTAGCTATATTTCAAAATAATAAAAAGCCAAGGTTGATTGATTGCATGTACTGCTTGCTATTGTTTTAATAAGTAAATAAGTGGTATTATTTTAATAACAATCACGCTATTGGATTATTTATTAGCTAGAAATTTTCTATTTATAGTTTAAATGAAATTAATTCACAGAGTATTTCTTTGCAGTAGATATTAACTGTTTTCCCTGAAAATACTAGCAGTTGTTTCTAGAATTTTAATAGTAATAGTGTTAAGGAATAGATTATCGATTAGTTTCCAACTATAGCCATCGAATCCTGCATTTAAGAATTATATGTTGTATGGCATTGCAAAATTGGGGAAAGTGTTATTAGAATTTATGAATTTGTAATTGAGAAGAGAGGATGAAGTGATACATTGATTAGTCTTAATTGTTATCAGTTATTTAATCGTCTGTTGAAATGGAAGAATGAGCTAACCTTTTGACAATAGCAAGCAGTTTGGAAGAATTGATTATGTTTGAACTGAGTGGAGCATTTCAACAAGATAGGCGAAGACCAAAGAATATCTCTTTGTTTACCGATCATATGTAAATTAATTTGAATCACAAAGCAACACAAAAAGAGACACGTCATATCACAAAAGCGACACTTCAAAAGAGACACGTCGTAAGCATGTCTCTATAACCATGATATTGATCTGTTTGTAAATGAAAAGTTCAATTGCTTTGTAGGTTAAATTATAGATATAAAGTAAATAAGTGTAATGAACTTTATGATTCTTGCAGAGTTCAATTTTATCACCATTTGTTAAAGATAATTTATAATTTATATTAGATTAATTTATTAGTTTTTAGAATTTATTCTCAAATATATTTGCTACAACACATATCTTCTATAATAAGTTTTTCATTGTTTAATCGCTACTATTAAAAAATGCGTGGAACATTCTTCAAAATTAATGGCATTTAAGCTATTTTATTGTAACTTTCTTTAAATACTCATTTCAACAATTTCATGAAATTTCAATTAATTTAAAAGTTAGCAATAATGTGTAGAATGTGTATTTGTTTATATATTTTCATTCACTAAGGGAGAATTAAAGTTAATGTACCATAAGATTGTTGGGATACCCACATCGATTATTTGTGTAAATTAGGCAAATGATAAAAACCATATGATATATCTAATAAAATTACTAAGAGTCAACATTAATAGATTATGCTGAAATGATCTAAAAAGAACTTTCTGATATTAAAAACTATTACAAATTTCAAAATTATTTAATTTAGGACTCCTCCTAAAGTGGAACAGATGGATAGCTCTAAGTTATATTTTAACATTGTTTACTAGGAGCCATTTCTCTTTTTTTAATTTGCAATAATTTGAAAATTTGAAAATCTTCTTCATAAAATGTCGATTTTCTAATATCGAAATTTCTAATATCATAATATGTTTTAAAATTTCTTATGTTATAAAGTGCCGAGATTTCAGTTACTAATTTAAAATTGAACACTTAAAATTTGAAAAAACTAAAAGATGTCAGACTTTGAAAAAGATTCATTTTCCAGATGTATGATAATAAGCAGTTAGAAATGTCATTCTTAATTCTAATCTTTCGCTGGTAAGGAAAACATCATTTGTTGTGTGTAAACAATAATTAAATGTGTTCAAAACCTTAAATTGTTCTGGAATTTGTTCCTTCTACATTATCCTTCTACTTAATTAGTTTTCTGATTGGAATTGTTCAATTATTTAATTTGAATTGTTTGTCTGTCGAAAATTGTTCAAAACGGAAATATTTAGTCAGTTAGTCAAATTGTCTAATGGCTTAGTCCAACTTGTTTAGTTGTGTAATTCCAATTGTTTAATTATTGATTGAAATTGTTTAATTGTCTAAGTAAAGAAGGAAAGAAACACATGAGCAGTGTTCAATGGAATTTTTAATTAGTAAAGTTATTTTTGTAAATATGCAAGCCAAGTGACGTTTTACATTGAAGCTAACGTCTTTGCCAATGTGCGTTGCATTTACACGTACGTCAATACCAACCCATATGAGTTTAATAATAATTTGGAAACTAATTTGCAAGTCAATTATATAAATCCCAATTTTATCATAATTAATCAATAATTAATAGGTGGTACTTTAACTGATTATTAGTACGCATTTGGCCGAAGACAGAGAAATTAATTAGTTAGTAGAATAATTTATTGGCCATGATTAAATAGGTGGCCAATATTATAAGTTTGCTTTTATGAAAATGAAGGAAACATTTTGCTGATTTTAAGATGGTCACTCTCTGTATTTATATTCAAAACAGTTCCATTAATTCAGTTGAATTCCAATTTTGTTTGTGTGAGTACAGCAATACTTCCACTTATCAAAAATTATTAATTAGTGCAATACAGAGAGTGGATAAGGTTTTCAAATTGATGAATCAATTCATATATGTTCACATAGTGATTTATTATTCTTTGTTCATTCATTTGCCAAGCTAAGTTATCTATGGCTAGCATTTTATAGCTGAATTGTATTCAATAAGCTATGCTTAAGTTTATTACTTCAAAAAGTTTTCACATGTAAATGAAAATAAATAAGCAATATTATTTATAAACTAATAATTTAATCAGAAATGAGATCAGCAAGAAAATGGAAAGCATGAATCCGAATGTTTTAATGATATGTTGTTGATTGCTCCGTTGTCGCATTGTCATATTTTAAAATTGAAGCTGTTGCTGTTAACGATGATGGACCAGCGTTTTCCTGTCTTGAACTCTTTTTTGACGCACGACGTTTACTTTCCGCCAAATAACCACCTTTAATACGATCAACCTGTAAAAAACGTAAGAAAGGAAAGAACTTTAAATGTCGTAGTGAGGAAGAATAGCAATGCTGATTAGCTTTATTGTAATGATCAAAAATTATAAAAATTTATTTAGATTAGTGCTGCATTAAAAGTTAGTCCTTTGGACACTACAAGCTATCAGTTTATCAGCAAAACAGTAGTTTTTTTTACTAATGATTAATTAACTGCTGGAATAATGGGAAAGATTTGAAAGACAAATAAATGATTACAATAAATGATAATAGGGCATTCCACGCTTTTAAGCATTTACGTTTGCCGCGGATCGCTTCAGCTTTTGCGATTGATTCAGCTAGCGAATCGCCAAATTGATCCCACGATGATGACATCGAATTTTCGCATGTATTACAATGCGCTGCACCCATTAACATGCAGCGGTCCTAAAGCAGAAATTAATTAATTAGTATCATTTAAAGATTTAACATTGCTATTTTTTAAAATATACGGAGAAGATGGGAGATGAAGACTGGAAGATCATTGATTAATCAGTAAGCAAGAGTTGATAACATGAAGCAATTACTTATAATTGACGATTATTATTAACTAGGAGAAAAATAATGTAGCAGCAATTTATTTAACAAAATTAGCAAAAAAAAAAAAAAAAAAAAAAAAAAGAAAAATCATAAGAACTAATAATGTCATTGATTGGTTGATTATTGATTCAAAAAAAAAAAATCGAAAAATCGTAAATGCTAGAGAAGGAAGTATAGAATGTTAAATTGAAGAATTTGTTTATACTTTCCCATTTATACCTGTACATACCTGTACAACTTTGATTGAACTATGAATTTCTCGCAGTGCGAAATCGATAAGCTCTATTAAGCTATCTGCATGTTCCTTTACATCGTAACATTTATATGATGTGAAGCCATCAATAATTGAAGTTTTCCGGAATAATTCTTTTGCTATTGTATTTTTTGAAATTACAGTTCTGAAAATAATTAAATGAAAGAAACAAAATCTTTATTTAATATTTTTTTTTTTTTTTTTTTTGCAAAATATGCAATGGACGGTGGTATTTTTACGCTTTTAGCTATTATTTTGAATGATTTCTGAAAGAAATAAAGAGTGAATAATGGAAATTAAAATTTAATAAAACTGAATTATTGTATTCTCTTCTATTTTACGTATCATTGTTATTTGATAATTCAAGAGAAATGGCATTAAAAATGAGGCGATGAATTTTCCTTTTCTTACCCAAATTATTTTATTATAGTATGAAAAGTAAATAATAAAAATAAATCGAGAAAAAATAACATCTTCTGTGTAAATGTGAGTGAGAAAAGCTTGAACAGCTAACATTTGACTAGATAATATTTCTCGAAATTTATTTCTGGCTAATTTAATAAGTTAGTCATTGTTAAAAAGTTTCAACGCATGAGGACAAAATATATGAAGTCATTCTATTAGTATGTTATAAATCGTTAGATCTTTAAAAATTAAGTTTAATTGTTAACAAGTTGAAATTTTTTGAAACATTTTTAAATTGAATTTTAATGATTAAATTTGATTGAATCCTGAAAATAAGAAATTTTTATTAAATTATGGTGTTTCGTATGATATAGTATTTTAATTAAATTTGAAAATCTCACCGAAAAACATTGATAAAAAAGTTGGGTGAGCAACGTAGTCGTTGCCAACTTTGCTGTAGTAAATGAATTTGATAGCTGAAAACAAAAAGAAAGAAAGGAAATGAAATAAAGTTTTGTGAGAAAATAAAATGCTTTTCGGAAATAGCTAATGTTGACATTATCAGTATTATCAGTATATCATTTCAACCGTAAATGTGTCAACTAATTCTCTAAAATTTACCATTGCTTTCGTCTTCGTTTATTTAAAAAGAATGTACTATTATGAATGCAAAAATAGCAGAAAAGTTCTATTTTGCAAGTTTTTTTTCTTTTTTTTTCGATGCAATTCTTTTTAAGGTTTTATGCAAAATATTTAGCACATCAAAATGATAATATGAATAAGGCCCACTGCTCTTTTTTTTTTTTTTCTTCTTTCTCTCATCGTTATTTTAAGCTTTTTTTTTTACTTCGATTTAACTTTTAGTTTTGTGTTTCGAAATTTCATCAATTTAGCATGAAATAATTCTGAAAGATATTTTTATTCAATATTTCGTATATTTCCTTAGGAAGGAAAATAAATTATCATTTGAAAAAGGAAAAAGCGATTGGAAGTTGTAAATTCATTTTCTAATGGTTGTATTTCTAGTTGAAATGGTTTATATCATTAGGCACAGGTAGGAAAGAATACACTTTTCAATTTGTTTTTTTTTAAAAAAGTTTTTTTTTTTTTTTTTGTGCTGACGATTGAAATGAAATGAGGAATATACAGCTTCAAAAGATGCAGTTATTCAGTAAATAATATTCAATCAGCAATTGCTAATGAAAGTAACGGATGATTTCATCTTTTTCAAAAGTGATATTTTTAGAAGTGCAAAATTTTCAAGTTTTGAAATGCAAATTAAATTTGCAAATCTCATACGATTGATCTCTGATGATCAATCGTATACATTTATTTCCATTTCTTGTTATTTATTGCTGATATCTTCCACATAAACATACACGTTTTTTAACTACTTTGAAATAAGCAAATAAAAATTTTCAAGATTACTAGATGGAAAGAGGGATTTAAGTTGCTTTCAAGATTTTGAAATTTTAAACCTTCTGATACAAACCTGGATAGCTGAAGTTGATCAGCTAAAGTATTCCCCGTATAACCTGCATCAGCGAACATATCAGTAATCAGGGATGTTCGCTGATTGATTGATAGTGAACTTGTTGAACTTTCTTGATTACTACGTGCTGAGGCGCAAGTTGCTGCAACTTCTTCCGTTCCACTGATAATCGATCACGATGAAATTGATGCCTTATGCGCTCAGTGGTACAACTATTGCTGCTATTCCTGCAACAATTAAATTATCTTTTGCTAATCCATACATCAACAAATGCAAAACATACACACATACACACACACACACACACATACACACACACACACACACACACACACACACACACACATACACATACACACATGCACACAGACCCATCTAAACTACATACTTATCTTCTATTAACCTCATCTTAACCATTCTCGAATAGTTTTGACAAATTTATTTTTTAGCGCTTATTTTTTTTTTCGAACTGTTGAAATTTCTGACAAAAAAAGAGAAAAAGACTTGAGCTGAGGAATTTCTGCAAGTGCTATTAGCATATAGCAATTTAATTATTGTTTTGCTTTCAAATGAATAGATATGGACAAAATACAGTCGAAAAAAAAAAAAAAAAATGTGATACTATTTTTGCGCATTATAAACACTTTTCCGCTGCGCTTCTCGATCAGTTTAATTCCTGAACTAGAATGAGAATAGAGTATGACGTGAATATGAGATGAAGTTACACCCATCTCTATTTACGTTAAATTAAAGTCACACAAATTTTTTTATTCACAAAATTTTGTTTCATTAAAATGAATTTTTAGAAGAAATTAATTGAAGAAGAATTACTATTGTATAAAATGGAAAATGCACTGAAATGAAAAAAACTTGAAAGTTGTGTTCCGCAAGTTCTGTGGTTGGAATACTGATCGATATTTTAACTTTACCTTAATACTCTCAATACTACTTCTAGACTATATCATTTTGCAAAAAAATTTGTAGTCATACATTAATTAATCTGTCATTTGCACTTTGAGACTAATTATTTCATTATATCTTATTTTAGTAGTTTATAAATAGCAACTTACTGAAATGAATTTTGAGGCTGAATTGATAATTGATCGTTTAGATATTTGATGTGATGTCGCTGAATTTGAAGATTGCTGAAGTTTTTAACAAATTTTGGTCGTACGTTGCCATAAGTGTAGCTAAAGTGAAGGCCAGAATTGCTAGTAGAAAATAGAAAAACTGAATGAATTTTTGGGATCTATAAAAATAGATTGTTTTCAAGTTTAGCATATTAAACTTAAACAAGTAAATACACTCAATGAGTAAGCGTTAATTGCTTTGCATTAAATTTTTAATAAAAAGATAATGAATTGAAATCTATTTTGATGAATGATAAATTAATATTGAGAATGATCTAATGAGGATGACAATAACAATGACAATGACAATGATGATAATAATGATGACAGCAATGATGATGATGATAACCATAATGATAATAATTATTATATGATTTCGTATGGCTATAGAATAGTTCCTATCACAGCAGAAGGCATATTACAATAAATTCTCAGTTGTTCTCTAACTGAACAAAAAAAAGAAAAATATTTGAAGGAACAAAAATATGACATTTGCGCTTCAGTTAATAATTACTTTTGGTCCAATAAATTTTGTTAATAGCATGCAAGTATAATATTTAATTAAACTTATTACATCATCGTAATCTGAATACCACCAATCTAATAATAATGAATGATTTAAGAAAGAGAAGAAAAGAGAGAGGGAGAAAGAAGGAAAAAGTAAAAGAATTTATATACTCTTTTTTAATTGAAAATTTAAAAAAAAAAAAAAAAAAAAAAAGTGAAGAACAAGGAAAATGAGTGAAATAAGATGGAAGAAGCTAAAAAAATAAATTTAGTAGAAAGAAAAATGAATAGAACAAATAAAATATTTCTGTTTCTTTCTTCATAAACTTCTATTTAATAGCGATAATTTGACTAATATAGCAATTATTTCACATTTCTTTCTATCATGCTATTATGTCGTTTGGGCGCAATTATTCTGCACTCTTTCAATTGAATCAAACAAATATCGTCGATATGTTATGAATGATTAGATGAGTAAATGAGTCATGCTGTACCACTCATGAACTGCTATTATTAGTTCAATTCAGTTTCAATTTCAAAACTATACGCAAATCTATTTTTTTTTTTTTTAAAGAATTCAGATGTTGCATGTTTAATGATGTAAAGAAGTGGCAGATAGGCTTAGAAGGAATATCTGATGATGTCATTTGAATACATCGTTATTATTAATATTGTGGAATGGACTTCGCAATTTTCCGACAATGTCAAAATAAGATCAAAAAGTAGTCGTAATTATTGGTTCTTTTTTTTTATATAGAAATGCTACACTATAAATGTTAATTTAAATTAGCATATATTAAAATGTTTTATTTTCCAATTCACTAGTATCAATTATTAAAATTAGAAAACATCCATATCAGCTTATTTTACATAAATTTTAAGTAATAGCTACATCATATAAACATCACATATTTCAATTTATTGGAAAAATTTTGGAATACTTTGTTTTACTTTAATATCTTTAATTCTTCTTAATGATGCAAGTTTATATCTCTTTTTGTTATTATCAATAGAAGTGCACCAAAAAAAAAAGAAAAAAACAAAAAAAACAAACCACAGTACATTCTTTTCTGAATGCATTGACTGATAAGCATTGATTAGAAGACAATCACTGCTCATAAACTTTATATAATTTATAAATCATTAGCAAAGAGAAATTGTTCTACCTACCACCTCTATTATAAAGCATATAATTGTGGGCATTTAATATAAGCTAATTAGAATACATAAATGTTTTGAATATTTGATGTTTGATTCTTTCAAATGTAAATATTTGATTGATAAGTTTAACAACGACGTCAAAAATGATGTACGTGAATTTACGTAAATATGGAAGAAATTTATAACGTACACAAATATAAAGTGAATATTTCACGTTTTACATAAGAGCTTCTTATGATCATGCCGTTTTTAAACAATAAGAAAATATTCATATCATTTCATGAAATTTTAAGTAAAACTTTTAGCTGCCAGATATTTTGATTTATTATCAAATTTTAGAATACTTTCTCTATCATTCATTTTAATCTAATACTTTTTTCTTCATAATTTCAATTTGATATTGAGTGAAACGAAAGATAAGTATTTGTTATTCGCTAATAAATGCTTATTGAAGTACGGACTAAATTAGAGAGTTAGAAAACGAAAACTCGAAATTGAGCAAATAATTTAAATTAAGAAAAAAAGGAAATCATGCTGTAAATAGTTGATAACAAATGATAAGATGTGGATTCATAGAATGAGGATTGTTTAACAGAGCTAATACTGAAAAGAGCCAAACAGGAAACAAACTAAATGGATGAAAATAAATAAAATGAATCTATCTTGTTTATCACTTACTTTTGGCAAATGCATAAATCATGACAATATGGCAAGCAAATGTTACTGGATTCTTACTAATCCATTTTTTTTACTTGGACTAAAAAAATTTTTCGAACAGATTTCACAACTAATTAGAAAGTTTCTTTCTAAATTTTAAATATTAGCATGTAATAGTAAATTTCATTAACAATTATAGTAGTGAAACTAATTTATTAAGAAGAATAAAGAATTTAGTGAAAACCTAAGTTTTTATAAACTCTTTTAACAAACACAAACAAAACTCAAAGTAAAATAATTAATTTATTGATAAAAGAAATGTAACTAAAAGGAGTGCTATGCAAATTAGGCGCAAATAGCACAAAGTTCATCTCCTCTTTAAACATACTAGTAATATTTTAAAGATAATAAATATATATACAACGTAAGGAAAAAAAAAAGGATACAGGTGTGATAATTTTTTCTCAATTAACTAGAAATTATGATTTATCATTTCTTGAAAATCTAATATTAAATAATTCAATTCTGTCTGATTATCTTATTTTCCAGAATAATTCACTTCATTTCTAATTACGTCTTATTAGCCATATTTTTGCGGTCATATTAAAAAAAAAAGATTAACTAATTTTAAAATCTTTACATATTTCTTGAAACTAAAAAATGCACAATAACTTATGGAACGAATAAATTTTATTGCAATGAATAGAGTACCAATTACATCCCTCATTGTATAATAATTGGAAAAATATAGTTTAACAAAGGAAGAAAAATAATAGGTTGATAAAGCTTTGGTAAAATGAGGTAGCAATTATTTTGGTCCATTAGATAGATCCATTTGTATACTTCCAACTACTGGAATGCTTTAATGACTGCTTAATGCCACTATCTTATTTGAGGTTTTCAAGGAATTAAATTTCAAAATGGCCAAGAAATGATTACTTTAAATGTTCACTTTCTCATAACTTAAATTAATCTTTATTTAAATGATAATTTTTGAAATTAAATGACTATTTGAAACAATATATGCAAGTTATTTCTTCTTTGTTTGCTACTACAGACGGATAGAATTTTGGCGATTGAAGTAATTTTTTTTATTCGATTCATTTCAACTCATTTTTTGAAATTAGTCATTTTAAGATTGTTTGTATGTGTGCATGTGCGTGTATGTAAGCATATATAATATGGTTGATGTTTGATCTAAATGTTAGTGTCAACAATTTCAAAAAAAAAAAAGGAAAAAGAAACGAAAGACAAAAAAGTATTATAAGGCTAATTTTTGTTGAAAATATTGCGATAATTACATGTAAATTATGCCATTAAAAAAAAGAAATAGGAATTTTAATGATCAATGCAATAATATTCCAAGCTGTCCATTTTGCGCTTTAATTATAGAAATTAAATAAATTAACTGAAAAAATAACAATGCACTTTTGAGGACTGTCATAGAAGGTTTAGTAGCGAAAAGGAATGGGAATGATTAGAAGACATAGAGAAATCCTGAAAGATATAATCAAGTCAGTAGAGCGCTATACTCCGGAAAAGTAATAGCCGGAAAAGAGTAATTGTTACTTTAGACTAAACGTTCTATTCCTACTGCAATGTAA